GAGACAAGGTCTCACCATGTTGCCTAGGCTGGTCTCTAACTCCTGGTCTCAAGCAATCCTCCTGCCTTGGCCTCCCAAAGTGCTGATATTACAGGTATTAGCCACAGAGACTGACTGAAATTTTTTTTTTTACATAAAAACCATGACTTCTATAATTTTGACAATCAACAGTCCCCCACAAAAAGAAAGCACATCTTCAAACGTTTCTGTCCACAGGCTCAACTTTTAAAAATATAAGTTGAGCATTCTTCATCTGAAATTCAAAATGCTCCAAAATCAAAACTTTGAGTGCCCACATGATAGCACAAGTGGAAAATTCCATGCATAATACTTAATACAAGCTTGGTTTCGTTACAAAATTGTTTTAAATATTGTATAAAATTACCTTCAGGCTGTGTGCATAAGGTGCATATGAAATATAAATAAATCTCACATTTAGACTTAGATCTCATCCCTAAAATATCTCATTATATGTATGAAAATATTCCAGAATCTGAAAGGAAAAGAAAACCCAAAACGCAAAACACTTCTGGTCCTAAGAATTTTGGATAAGAGGCACTCAACCTGCAGCACAACAGGTTGCGATTAAATAATTCAAAGGGTGCTTGAGGGACAGAGGCCCAGAAAATCCATCTGCTGTAAAGTTAGAACCGGCAACCTTGACCCTCTTTGCCCCTTACACACGTACACACACAATTTGCTCTCCCAATGGTGGTGCAACACAGGCAAATACTAACAGTCTGACCTATTCTTCAATTAAATCACAGTCTTTTTAAGCAAAAAGGGAAAATTCAAGCAGGAATTCTGGGGCACTTGGGAAAGTTCCCAAGGATTAAAACCATTTGGAGGATAAAACATATTTGCAGTTCCATCAACCCTGACAGAACAGCCCGTACGGAGTTTCTTGGTGGTCATCCTGTTCAATATCCATATTAGTCCTTCCAGGGAATATTCCACCTTAGAGAGGATGAGGCTCTTGCAAGGTTGGCTTGCCCAAGGTCAAATGACTACTTAACTTAGGTCTCTAAACCCGATCCAAAGTTCTTCCCACCCCCTGAGAAGAGAGATATTGGGGGGGGCATTTTTTTCTTTCTTTTTAATTTGTTTTCTGTTATTATTATTTTTTGAGTTGGAGTCTCACTGTGGCCAGGCTGAAGTGCAGTGGCACTCTTGTATTTTTATTTTAGAGTTGTGGGGTGCATGTGCATGTACACAGGTAACTAGCATGCAGGTAAGGTTTGGGCTTCTAGCAGCCCTTTCTCCCCCGAGAGTGGACATGGTACACAGGTGGTGGTTGTGTGCTCCTTATCCCCCATCCCTCTGTCCTAGCAGTGCTCAGTGCACCTTTGCAGTGAGTGGCATTTCTTTAGACTGAAATGCTAAAGAATCATCCATCCAAGACCTCATCCAGATGGCTGCTCAGGTCATCTTCGTAGAGGATTGCTTGTCACCCTACCCAACACCTCATCCTTCCTGCACCATCAAATTCTGTGCCCAGTGTCTTGCCCTGCCACTCACGGTCCGCCTCAGCTTGATCCTAGTGCACCACCTGTCATGAACCCTCCAAAGTCCAACTGGCCCTTGAATGCCTGAACCACCTGCTCACACTGCTCCCCAATGAGAATGCCTCCCTTCCCAGGCTCAGATCTCGGCTGATGCTCTTCCAAGTCACATGCCGGGACCCCAACTACAGACCTGCAGACCTGGAGTCCCTGTCCTCTGACAGCAGGAAGGTGTTTTTTGAGGTCACTGCACTACCACGTTAGCAAGCACTGCCCAGATCAAGGCCAGCACAAACCCTGTTGACTAAATGCAACTCCACACACAAGTCCCATAATGACAGCTCCCACCTCCAAATTCCAGAAGCAATTGCTGTCTACACCACCCTGTGGCCAATTAATGCTACCACCTACTGCTATTTATAGTTGTATGCAGTCTTCCTGTCTCCTAGGTTACACTCTTTTTGAAAAAATGCAAGAATTTAGTGTTATATCTCTGCACAGGGCATGATGTTGCATACACAGCAGCCCTTCAACAAACCACACACTTCCAGGTGGTCCTGTACATCTTGTGCCCCTCAGGAGTCATGGTGTCAGGCCACAGGCACAGGAACACACCACTAGCCCTCCCATACTCAGCCCTCAAGAGGACCATACGTGCAACACGGTTCTCAATGTGTAGCCCTGGATGAGGACAAGTGGACAGGGATGAACAGTCATTTCCACCAATCAGTAACCACAGAAACACTTTTACACTAGAGAAAAAAATCTATTTCAATCAGAAAAACCGATTGGTTTAACATGAAAACAGCTCTAATGTAATGCTAAAAAATTAGCTCCACCACACCCCAAAGTGCTTGCTGCAGGCTGAGAGCTTTCTTTCTTTCTTTTTTTGGGCTAGGTAGATTTTTATACAAAGCTATCAACATGATCTACCCACATTTTCCCCCACCAGATGGGAGTTCATCATGCCACATGTCACCTAGCAACCTAAACACCACTTGACAACTCCCCAGTCACCCAATTCTCCATACAGAATTTGTCATGTTCTATTAAGCAATATGGGCAAAGAACAGATAAGAGAATACAAGTTAAAACGGTGCTAATATGTATTTGTTTCACAGCCACTTTACACAGGATGGGAAAAATGAAAAGAAAAACTAAAGATTAATCATTATCTGGTAATGAGAAGGAAAAATACAAACAGACCTAGAAGACACTCGTGCTTTTGCAACATCTAAGAGTCAACTGTCTGTGATCCAATGATTGAACTTTGTATACTGCAAAGCCCACCTCCAAATTTACCTGCTGAACTGTAAATTGCACTTACAGCACTTTTAAATAATAATGGAGACTGGTGAGCCATCCATCTGACCCTCCCTCTCATCCCTCTCTAACTCCAAGGCCACCATCACTCTCCCTTCCTTCACCTCAAGGCCCTTTTTCTCTTTGTGATGCTTTTCAAACTCCCAGAAGAACACTGCACTTCCTCTTCTGTGTCCCCAGGTTCTGGTGAACAACCTTGCTGGCATTTAGAATAAGGTCCTGCTCTGTCACCAAAGCCTCTCAGCACCATGGTATACACTGGCTTCTTCATCTGGAGGAGCACAGAGCCAGTCTCTTGTCCATTTTCTACAAAGCAGTGGGTCCCCTGGATGTCCAGCATCCAGAACAAAGCCGTGGACATGGCAAATGCTTAAGAATTTCTGTGGAACGAATGAATGACTCAAGTCAGTCAAATAACTACATTTGCATCTTCCAAACAGGCAAATCTACCAATGTCCATTTAGTATATGATGACATATGACTAATTTTAAGCAGGTAAAATGAGTAAGGTGAGAGGAAACGCCAACCACCTTCCACAGATTCAGGATCCTAGGCACACTGCAGAGTACATATTATTGTATTTCTCTTTCCTTTCACATTTCGCTGATTTCCAGTAGGCATGGACAATTTGATTATTCATTTAGATCATTCAGATCATAAACTGTCATTCGTAAACTATCCTTAAATGTTTATGTTTAGAGGGCTTCTACCCTTTGTTAGCTTTGCAAGATAAACAGATGCCCAATTTCCACTGATTTTATTTGATTTTTCAACAGGAGCTCACCCAACTGTAAGGAACATTTTAGAGCTGTTAAAGTGAACACCTTCCATTCTGTGTCAGGGTCATAAACGTCCCCCAAAATTATATTTAAAAGGTCAAGTCCATGCTATTTTTTCCAATGAATACTAAAAACAAAACAATAGTGTGTGTGTGTTTTCTTTTTAATTTCAGAAAGAATTGTGGGCTGTCACCTCGCACTGACAGAGTCACCTGCTCCCTCACCTGCAGCCCCAAAGCTTTCCCGGGTCAGGCCACCCCAGTATCGGGAACAAATAGAAAACACTGCACCACACTGCATACGCCTTCCACCCAACATTACTACAAAGGAAATATCCCCGGGTGCTTGAGAGAAACTTCAGCGTGGGCCGTTGTCAAACACAGCCACAGTCGATAAAAACAATTTAACAAAATGCCTTTTCACTTCTGACACATTGTAGAGGAATGCAGCAAAGTGGAGACAATGTTATCACTCCACCAAGCCACAGGGAAATCTACTCGACTCCGAAATCCGCCCTGGCCTCGCAGCCCAGGCACCAGCTGGAAGTGGTTCCAGCGAGGTGCCAGCTGCGGTCCTCGCAGGAAAACTTCATTCGGCGACCATTCCAGGGTTGTGCTTTTTAAAGGCGCCCGCACTGGAGCTTCTCAATCGCCGAGATTCTCTGCTCCACAGACGCTCGCCGGCGCGGGGAAGCGGGGGTGCCTCTCGGTGCCGCCTTCCCGCCCCCAAACCGGCGGCTCCCCCAACCCTGCAGCCCCCGACACGCGCGGCGGGCAGGGAGGAAAAGGCTCCTCGCTGCGGCCCAGCTCCGCCGGGAGGAAGGGACTGGAGGGAGAAGGCAGCAGCCACCCCCGTCGGGTGGGGGATAAACTCTCCCCGCGCCACAGAAGTTGCCTTTCCGCAGCTTTGCCCGTGGGGCCTGGGAGCGGGGAGAGGCCTGGGGCTGGATTTGCACGGCCCGCAGCGGCGGCCGGGGGAGAGGGCCCGGCCAGGCTCGCCCGCGCCCCCCGCGCCAGACTCGGGCTCCGCTCCCCTTGCAGCTCCGGGAGACGCCGGGGCCGCCTGCGCCGCGGCGCTGCTGGCCCGCGGCGGAGCCCCAAGGGGCGGCGTTCGAGGGCATCGCGGGTCCCGGCGCGCTTCCCCGGGCGGCGCCCTCGCCCGCCCCGCCGGCCCGGCCCGCGCGGGGAACTTGGCCGCCCGCAGCCTGGGCGGGGGGCGCCCGCGAGGCCCGGCCGGGCCGCCGCACTTTCCCTGTCCCCGACTCCGCTCCGTCTCCCTCCTCCCCTTTCCAGGAAGCGCCATATTGATCCCGGCGCCTTCCCCCTCCTCCTCCTCCTCCTCCTCGTCCTCCCCCTCCTCCCGCACCCCCGCGCCCCGTGCGCCCCCGGCCCCTCACCTTGGCTATGGCCTTCCGGTAGCGGGTCACCGCTTGCTGGATGAGGCTGAAAACTTTCATGTGGCCGTCCCCGCACGGCACGACCACCCGGGTCCTCCCGAAGCACACCGTCACTTTCATGCCGCCGCCGCGGGCCGGCCCGCGCCCCTAGCTGACCGCGGCCGGAGCGCCCCGGGCGAGGG